TTCTTGGTAAATGAAAGAGAAAGTAAGCCTTCTGCAATGTGTTTCCCTCTTACAAGCCCCAAAGCGCGACAATAAAAAGGTTTTACAAAAATATAAGTTCATTTCAAATCACTAAACTAATAATTCGTTTTTCTTTAGACACCATGTTTCTAGTTCATACAATCGATTGATAGTCCAATTTATTTTAAGCGGGAGTTTTCATCACAAGATAACAAAGTTAAAAAGGTTTACACAATTTACGAGAAAATATATCATAACAACGTTATATTTCTGAAACTTGACAAAACAAAAATTGTTGTAAATCACCTCAATATTCTTTGATTTATATGTATGTATATATATTGTAGTAATCGTATGGTTTTTAAATAACTCAAAAATTTTTAAACCACAGATTTTAAAAATTTTTTTTGGGATATAAATTTAACAAACTGTGTAAAAATTTGAAACTTTGAAATATAACATTTGATAATACTTTCTTAAATTTGATAGGGTTCTCGTCAAAATTAAACAAGCCGAAGGTATGGGTGTGATACTGTACCGTAAACTTGAGTCTGCACTATTTTTGCACGGGCAGTAGTTGTAGGAAACCAATGTTTTCAGGAAAGTATCCGCACTCCTCCCCGCGCCCATCCCAACGTTCGCCAATCCATCTGTCAAGATCTGTGGCGACCCTTATAGAAGAAAGAAAGGCAAAACAATAGAAGGGAGGGAGGGGTTGTGCAATGACCTCGAAATGAGCAGCATGACAACAGTGAGTGGAGTAGAGGGTTGGGGGGGAAGGGTGAGACCTTTGAGCTATATTTAGACTAGACTTTCACCACTTCCCAAATGGCTGGGTAGGGAGGGGGATTACAATAGCAGGTTTTTTCCTTGCCTGGTTTGACTTTTGTCTTTTTGCTTAGGAGATTTGAATCATCAAAAATGTAATTTGAATTGACCACAATTAATTAGCATTGATAATACAATCTGCATGGGACCAGGATAAATATTATTTGAATTAGAGTTAATGCCATGTTTTGCATTTTTACATCAAAATACAACATTGCACAATCATGATGTTTTAGGTTATTGACCTTAAAAAAGCATGATAATTATAAATTTATCGTCGCCAATAGCTTACAAACAAGGTTTAAACTCATTGACGGCGCTTCAATGGCGGTTGTGTAAAGTGTAAAGTAAAAAATCACAACTGTAGTGGGTGGTAGTAGCAAAGGTTTACAGTTGATGGACGATGCTAAACTCGCTTTTCCAATGTGTCACTTTCTGTTCCTACTCACCGTGTGATGCAATGGCTGGACCATACAGCCAACAGGGCCATAGCCTATCTCTTGAGTACTTACGCTTACCCAATTATTCATAACAACCTTTTCGACGACAATCCTTGATACCGGTACTTTTCCCTAGAATACAAGGCCTCCCTACTGAAAGAAATAAAATTACAAACGTCCAAAGACCTAGCATTGTGGGATTTTTGTCACATTTCCCTCTAATGTTAATAGATATACCAATCATTGTTTAGAGAATACATAATTTATTAAATAACAAAAAGTTGTTTGTATAAGGTAGTTTTTTTTTCAAACTGACACCAATAAGTTTATATTAAATGTTGTTTACGAATAAAACGTATCAACACATCACTGTAATTTACAAATTAGTGTTATCATTGGTGTTGCACCTTATTTATACAGTCGTATTCAATTTAATTGATGTCTTAACTGTATAAGTTTTGCTTTTTCTGTCTGAATTCCAAAATGTTAGTTAAAGCTAAGTAAATGATAACTCATTTAAGTAAAACATTTGTTCAGCAAAACATCATGAATTGTTTACGATTTACGATGTTTATGTATCAATAGTTAGTGGCCTATTTTGGTAATTTTTTGTTATGATAAAATTTGATGATATTGACAAAGATTTTAAATACTAATTTTATATGTACTTTGTTATGCTTAAAACGTAGCAAATTCCCTAATTAAGTTCTGTATTTTTGTGTGAATGTCTGTAGGTAACGCACTAATGTCCTTATTTCTCAGTGTCACGAAAAGGACAAGAACTTGATAATGAAAATGTCAACCCGAATAAATTGTTAAATGGTGAGGTTGAGGTAGTACTTTAAATACTTTTAACCATTGTGGAAAGTAACTTTCAACTATAGGCCTACCTTAGGGCTATGCCTCATAGATCTAGGCCTATAAAGCTTTTTTTTAGTTTAATCATTGGATTTAACATATGGATCAACACGATCCGGGTGACATTTAATTGCGAAGCATTTGTTTTAGCTTGAAACTGTCAGATACTGTATTTGCGAAGGTTTATATATAATAGTTTTGCCAGCATATCTGAAAATATGCAAACCAACTGCTGTTCTCAATATAAGAAGGTTTCAACTGACTACTATAAGATCCCCGTGCGTAGAACGGGCACACAGCTAGTCATACATAAAGATGATAATAGCACTCCTAAAAAGGATATAAAGATAACAACATAAAAACATCATTATACTTTCTCTTCATTCTTCCATCCACCACGCATTCAACAAGTTGCCATGGTTACTATAATCACCCCATTCCCATTAGAGACTTCTACGCATTACTCATAATCAGCTGAGCTATTATCATCAGTTATTGATAACAACAGATTTTTTTCTTATTGTAGTTATTAGAGAGTTAACAACATAGACTAAGCAAAGTAATTTTATCTATGGTAATAAACAACAAATGTTTCTGTTACTAAAGCTTACAAATATTTCAAAATAATTAAGTGCTAGCACTTCGCCTTCTATAAATTTGATTACAAATTCTTTAGCTTACAATAAGTAGGCTTATCAGTTTGGCTTGGCCTAAATCTAGGTTACATTATAGTTTGTTTTCCTTCTTGACAACTTACATTAATGTGGTTAATGTGCATGGAATACAATTGATGATAGTGAATTAGGCCTAAGTCTAGGTTTCATTAGATTTCTTTTCTATAACTACTATTGTATGGGCCTATTACATTATTCAGTTACAATGTTCAATCTACAATTGTTTTATTTAACAGTAAGGTAGGCTACTTGTAGGCCTTTTTAAGTACTTTATTTTGAACATACATTTTCAGTATTTTGACAGAACGTTTGTTTATTAAACGTTATACCTGCATTGTAATTGCGACCTTAATAACTAATAGATACAAGTATTAAGCAATTTTTTAGCCAAGTATTATGCAATATTACTTAACAATAGGGATTAATGTAATTAATCTTTGGATGAATAAATATGTGCTCACCTACGTATTTTTCACAGAAGTATATGTTCATTTATGAGCTCTTTTCAAATTCAAATAATTTATTGTTGTTTTAAAATTATTTTCTTTGTTACTGCACAAGTATTAATAATTAATTTTTTTATAATCGTACTTCAGCTTGTAACAAGGTTGTTTTACAAGTTACATGCTCTAGGCCTAAGGAGTTACTTAAACATACACATCCTTAGATTTTTTTGTTTTAAACTCGACTCGAACTCAACTCGACCTGAAAAACCTGTGCTCGCACATCTCTAGTTTCCCGCGATCGCGGCAACACCCGTGTGCATATTTTGTGGTTGTAGCGACACCAATAATTGTTTTTTGCGATCGCGGCAACACCCGTGTGCATATTTTGTGGTTTTAGCGACACCGATAATCATCTCCCGCGATCGCGGCAACACCTGTGAGGATATCTTGCGGTTTCGGCGACACCGATAATTGTCTCTCGCGATCGCGGCAAAACCCGTGACCATATCTTGCGGTTTCGGCGACACCGACAACCGTCTCCCGCGATCGCGGCAATACCCGTGAGAATATCTTGCGGTTTCGGCGACACTGATAATCGTTTCCTGCGATCGCGGCAACAAAAGCGGTAGTGTTTCGGTTAGCTGACGATTCCGATGACCGGGCCCCGGATGTTTGGGTGGATTCCTGGAGTTTTCCAGGACATTTCAAGGTACGATTAAATTCCCGGAGGTTTTCCGGTTTTCCTGGAGAATAGACACCATGTACATCAATGGTTAAAACTAGGGATGGACGAGATTGGATTTTTAATTCGAGACGAGACGAGACGAGATTTTTTATTTCTCATAAAATTTCGAGACGAGATCGAGACGGGATTTCCCTTCTCATACACAACGGGAAATGCACGTTCAAAATTTTTACCTGATTTTGTAACATTGTTAGATGACTGTTTAAATACAAAAATAATGATAATAGGCAAGAATATTTACAATATTTTACTAAAAAACATCAGCATAACATTTTTTTATTAATCACGCCTAACTTATTAAAAATGCCTAGACGATTAGGAAACATAGTGATATCAGTTAGGATAGAGTTCAACTTATCCTAAAATAAAATAAATCATAAAATAAAAGCAATATTAATTTTTATAAAATAGTTACTTGTTTTGACTTTTTATAGTAATAAAACATTCCTCACACTGCTTACACTTAACAAAACTTCTCAAATGTTATTAAAGTAATATTATTAAAATAATTAAAGTAATATTTACATTAAAAGAATTTATTAAATAAAAACGCCTTCGCAAAGGAAACGCAACTACAACACGCTCCTGTATTGCGGGTATTGCATTGACTTTCTGCAGGCGTTTTTAATTTTTTTTTTTTTTTATTCTCGTCTCGACAAAATTCTCGGCCAAAAAGAAATCTCGTCTCGTGTAACGAGAATTAAAATTTCCCGAAATTTCGAGACTTGACCATCCCTAGTTAAAACCAAAACATCCGTGGAAAAGATTCAGCGCGATAAGGTGAGTGTGTTCACTCCCATAAGCTGCAATGGCCCGTGACTAAGATAAGATAAGGTAAGACATAACCAAATAAACAGTAAATCATTACTACAAAACAATCCTAACAATCCTACCAAAACTGACTTTTTATATGATTTCTCGGTTTAAACTCGACAAACCAACCCATCCCTAATAAAAAGTTAATATTCATGATAATTTTCAATGTTTGATTTTTTAAACATATTCTCACCTCTGTGTGATTTTCCATACCAAGCTTTAAGGCGCTGAACGCATGGTAAACAAGTACAGTGTCACTGACATCGAAAAACTTGGCAAGGTAGACATTTGTTTTGATTACTTTTGTCTGTTTCAGCTGCATAGTTTCTAGTAGGTACTGAAACATTTGAGGTGACCATAAAACCATTGTTCTTAACACCTAAATTTGCTGTGGAAATCTACTTTTTTTTCAATGAGGTAACTTTTAATATTTTTTCTGGTTTTAATTGGATCCCTGTTTGATAATGAATAATAACAAAACAGTTACAACAAATATCCATCAACCATCTAAAATTATTTTAAGCGATCGGTGGAAAAGTTTTTAGGCTGCACATTCTTGCAGTGGCGGATTCAGAGAGGGGCTATAGTCCTCCCCCCCTTGGGTATCCAATTTACACTTAGATAAAATGGGTAATCTTCACTGAGAAGAATAAAAACTTATCTCAGGTCATCCATGACAGAAGACTGATTGAACGGGATTGCCCTGGCTCATATTCATAAGGAAAGGGAAATCGATGTAGATAAAGTCTTAGACTACATAATTTTAGTCAGTCAAAAACAAGACAAAAGTGTTTGTCAAATTGGGATAACTCAAAAACCGTTGGGTTTAGAGAAAGATGATAAATACAAAAAATGTGTATTTTTAGATGACCTACATTTTGTATATTTAGCTTTTTCCTGTATCTCTAATAATAAAGTCACTATAGCGAAAAATACAGAAATATGCCGCCATTTTCCAACATGGCGGCCGTAGCACAGCTTCAATTTTAGGGGACTTTTAGTATGTTCAAAAGGAAGGTACACCCAACATCTGTACCAAATTCCCCGGTTGTGCTAATTTTTTTTGGGTCAAAACATATTTTTATTGTACTATTAATTTGGGGAATGATGATGACCAATGATTTACTGAATAAATGATAAAATCCTATGGTCTGAGCCCAGCCAATTAATAAATTAAACTGAACCCTGAACACACCTGACTGGTAGCAGATCCGAGGCTTATAAGGTGTAGTTTTACCCCCCCCCCCCTCGGAAATAACACCTTACAGCACAATAACATGGGATTATATCAAAAGCTTTGTACTAATATTGTGGTTGTGATCAACATTGATTACTTGTTTTCAATTGTTTACAGAGTCTATTGTTTGTAACTTACCTCCTCTATTAATTCTCTACACGAGTCCCTCAATTTGTAGGTGGCATCAAACAAAGCCAATTTCATCCCAGGAATCTCATTTTCAAATTCTTCTGTCTTCAAGATGTAATTGTAAAGACATAAAAGAGTTTTGTGAACAGCTGCCTGTGCGGGGGAACTGTGTAGATTATGTCTTATGTTTAGCAGGACACAAAACCATGATTTGACTGCCTGAAAATATGAGAACCAACTAGAATGAGCTGATTATTCTAAATATAACCTTTATACTAAATTCAATTATCAGCCAGTGGTAAGAGTCATAATGTACATTATTTAATATTTTGTAAATTAACCACTGTTATAAACTTCACACGAGAACATGTGAATTGGCCTATATTCCAAAATTAATTAAACATTCAAAATTAATTACAGTTCTGATTATAGTAGACCCTCAGTAATCCGGCAGATATAGGATACTGCCGGATTAGTGAAAATGTAGGATTACTGGAATGTCCTCAATAACAACATGTCTGCGAAGATCGTGCGATCGGAAACCACACTACCATAGTTCAATCATGCTGATTTGTGAACTTTTTACCGAATTTTTATCAAAATCAGATGATTTTCACTTGAGTTATTGTGCTGACAGATATACAGGATGACTTTTAAATGAGTTCCCCCCTACTTCTTTCTACATTTCTTAAGATATCAACTCCGGACCATGTCAGATCAATGTAGAATAGTAAGTACTTAATTTTGACTGAGTATACATTTTTGGCCACCATCTTGGATCCGCCATTTTGGATAGAAAAATTTATTTTCAAATTTAAAGGTGGGGTTGTGACCCAACGTTTCAAACTAGATTTTTACGCTGAATACAATGTTCCAATCAGTTTTTCAAAATCTTAATCCGTTAAAAAGTTATAACTTTAAAACGACAAGCGATATCACAACACAAGCAAAGTTGGCATACATTACTGGTAAGAGTAAGCTAGATTTTTGTGTACATGGAGATCGGATGTTACCTATGGGGGATGGAACGCTAGGAGTCGGGATAAAATCTTAAATCTAAGCATAGGTTGATATGCACATCAAATTAAAGGGCTTTGATAGTAAAATACAATGCTACAAATCCAAACTCAAACGAACAACCGAGTCAAAAATGACAGCTGTTTGATGATTCATTTAATTATCAATTCTATTAGCTGTTCAATGATTAATTTAATTTGCAATGCTATTATACACTAACTCCTTAGGGGGTGCCTGCTAGAAAACGGAAGAAAATCTTAAAAGAAAGCGAAGGTCAATATGCATATCAAATTAAAGGTCTTTTTTAGTAGAAGGCATTGTAGCCGCAAATTTGAGCTCAAAAATACATGAGTAAAAAATGGCAGCCATTTAAAAAAGATTCAAAATGTCAAATTCAAGAAATATTTGAACGGCTGTAATTTTTTACTCGGTTGTCTGTTTGAGATGCGGTTTGCAGCATTGTTTTTAGTTCAACAGGAACTTTAATTTGATTTACATGTCAACCTACGTTTACCTTTAAGATTCAATTTAAATGAATAAAATTATATGTTTACCATGACAGTTCCTTTTATCCAAGTTAAGTTCCAATTGAAGTACTGAGGGATTGTGACTAGTTTTAAGAGAGCTATGGGTTCATCTTTATACTTGTCCCATAGCTGAATCAAGGAGGGTCCTATGGCTTCCCTTAGATAATCTAGTTCTTTTGGAGATTCAGGATCTCTCTTTGGAGTCTCGACCTAGCAAAAAAAAAAATAAATACATTTACAAAAAAAGAATACACAGTATTATATTGGACCACAAATTGTTAAGGTGAAGTGTTGTAATCATTTTCAACGAGTGGACAGCCATCCTAGAGTTAAAAATTTAGCATAATGAATTACAATAATATGTGCTATTATTATTTTATAATATTTAATGGACACATTCAACGGATTAAACTTAACCTCTTTACCTCCACGGACCAATCAAATTAGTTCTGCAATATTTTGTAAAGACCGCCAAAATTCAATCTCATCGGTCTCTAGCTGTTATGTGAAGTTCGCTCAGGCCAATGTGAAAACGGCACATGCCGATATGATCGGCTCTGCCGAATTTTCAATTGCGCTGTTGTTTTTGCGTACAGTAACTACATATTGATATTAAGGTTAAGAACCATGCATTTAATGAAAAAAGTTAGTTAAATGCAACTTACATCACACATTACGAATACGTTACATTTACACTATTTACAACGTAATATCTTTATTATAGTACTTCATCGTCAAAACGATTACGTAAGCTGTGGCAGCAGTCGCTGACATGTTGTCAGACGCGCTAAAAATGACACAAATAGGCTAAGTATATTCTCTACAAATGTACATCTTGCAGTGAGCACAGAAGATTTTCCAAAATGTTAATTTAGGAAGTTTTCACAAAATTCCACAACGACCTACAATGTTTGGTGCTGGTCGTCTGGACACTGGTGGTGCCTCTTTCAACAGGGCTTACCCTCTCACTTGAAGGATTTTCTTGATGGCTTGATGGTCTCTTTACAGTATTTTGGTACCTGTTGAATCACTGTTCTTAAATTAAGATAGTCAACCCAGAGAGCAAAAGCTAAAAAAACTCTCTTCGGAACAATCTTCTCTATCATCAGGTTCCCATCGAAGAAGTATCTCGTGATCTGGGACTCCAAACTCTTGCAGATCGCAGATTCTCCGCTGACGTTGTACTGCTGTCAAAGATCCTTAACGGCATGATCGACTGTCCCAATATGCTGAGCCGGATCCTGTTCAGGACCCCTTCAGCCACTCTCTCCAGAGACCTGTTCGCTAGGCAGCAAAATCGTACCAACTATGCAGCAAACGACACGATGTACCGGCTTCAGAGATCTGGCAATAGCGTCGCTGACGTCGTTGACTTTTTTGTGGACAGTATACCAGTGCTCAAGAGGAAGATCGCAAGTCTGCATGAGTTAGCTGTCTAGGAGTTGCTACTGTGGAGGGAAGACACTTCGCTCTGCATACTTACCTGTCAAGCTGTTTTAATTGTAAATATTTGTATACAACATTTAATGTATCTATCTCTATGCCAACATCATTCTAAACTGCATGTAGCCCATAGGGACCATTGTAATCCCCTTATCTGCCCTTTAATAAATATTGCTATATAAAAAAAATATATATTAAAAAAGCTAAAGAAAATGGTAGAAGGGGACCCCACAATTCACAAGCACAAAATCAATCATCAACTTCACGCAAAAAAATCATTTGTCATTTTTGTAATTGCCATCAATAGGTACCTCACGTTTTTATTGTGGTTCGTACATCACGCATGTTCATCATTGTCTTGAATTAATTCATATTTTGTTCAAAACTGTAAAAATGGAGTGTTCCGTTGAAATGTAAAATAAAATATAATAAATCCTTCCTCGTTATTGAGATAATTCAAGATAACATTGGCGTCTATTGGCCCAATATTTAGTAAGGAAAACACATGGTTGGGGCGCATAATTGACTGATTCTTGAATCAGGCTTGAATTCCCCAGTCTCATTAGAGTTAATGGTGAAAAATGTAAAAATACACCAACACAATTAGGCACATCGGTGTTAGCGACCGATTTAATATTGACACACGTTTGGGCGCTTCGCTGGTAATGACTAACCTTCCACTGTTTTTGTTACTGTGACGGGTAGATTGAAACTAACCCCTCCCCACCACTGCCATTTAATAGCTCAACCCTATCCTGAGTAGTATCTGGGAGGGGGTGTCCCAGTCCGCTTCCATTTCCCAGTAATATCCAAAATAATACGTTTCGGTCTTTTCCACCGACGTGCGCCCTCTGGAGGGTTAAAAACACCAACATCTTCTCCAACTCATTCATGACCTAATCTGTTTACTTTGGATACTGGGTCTAAAATTATTTTCATATCATTTCATATAATTATAAATGCAACAAAAGATTAGTCAACAGGAGCCAATCAAAGTAAAAAAGTAGGGATGGACGAGATTGGATTTTTAGTTCGAGACGAGACGAGACGAGATTTTTTATTTCTCATAAAATTTCGAGACGAGATCGAGACGGGATTTCCCTTCTCATACACAACGGGAAATGCACGTTCAAAATTTTTACCTGATTTTGTAACATTGTTAGGATGACTGTTTAAATACAAAAATAATGATAATAGGCAAGAATATTTACAATCTTTTATTAAAAAACATCAGCATAACATTTTTTTATTAATCACGCCTAACTTATTAAAAATGCCTACGATTAGAAAACATGATATCAGTTAGGATAGAGTTCAACTTATCCTAAAATAAAATAAATCATAAAATAAAAGCAATATTAATTTTTATAAAATAGTTACTTGTTTTGACTTTTTATAGTACAGTCATAAAACATTCCTCACACTGCTTACACTTAACAAAACTTCGCAAATGTTATTAAAGTAATATTATTATAATAATTAAAGTAATATTTACATTTAAAGAATTAATTAAATAAGAACGCCTTCGCAAAGGAAACGCAACTACAACACGCTCCTGTATTGCGGGTATTGCATTGACTTTCTGCAGGCGTTTTTAATTTTTTTTTTTTTTTTTTTTTTTTTTATTCTCGTCTCAATAAAAATCTCGGCCAAAAAGAAATCTCGTCTCGTGTAACGAGATTTAAAATTTCCCGAAAATTTCCCGAAATTTCGAGACTTGACCATCCCTATAAAAAAGTCAATAGAAGTAGCCTACCGGTAGATAAATTATTTTAATACAAATCAAGTCATATAGCCATATAGTGATAGGGTAGTTTATTTTGTGGATAATTTATTAGTAGAATAAACTTTTTGAATCAGCAAGTAAAATTACTTTGTTAGGAAACCCATGAAATAAAAACAAATGTAGGCCTATATATTTTACTCGCCAACTTATGATAAATTAAATTAAAGCCAACATATAAAATTTGAAATATATCATAATGAGGATGACACAATAGCCCAAATACCCCCTCAACACATTCCTGAATTAGCCTAGCATATTTCTCATCAGTTCCAAAATTAATCATGTGTTTATTGTAGGCGAGAGTTAAGAAGTCCTCTGAGCCCTGGCCTATTGTAAAAATGCAGGCGCTTGCTACTCGACGTCTAGGCGCGCCAGCGGGTTAACTCGTGTTCCACGCGGCAGTCAGGGCTTACATCCACTGCGTTAAAACCAAAAGAGCACCTGCAAATACCGCGCGGCAACATACAAACATTGCTGCACATCACTCTGGCTCAGAGGACTTCTTAACTCTCGCCTACAGTATTATAAGATGAATACACCTATAACAAAGCTTTCTCTAAAAATAAAGGACGATCAAAATGAAAAATATGATTTGGAATAAGATTAAGATTATTGTCTTTTCAGTTTAAAAATCAACATTATATAAGCCATTAGTTTATCTTAGGGTTCAATTAAATTGTCTTAGTGTATTTTACAGCTCTTCCAAAGAATCAAAAGACCCAGACCTGGACCTGATTATTTAGAATGCCTGTGTAAATAAAACCTGAGTAAAAACAATGAGGTTCGTCACTATCATCATTCTGGTTCATTAGTCTTGGATAAGTAAAACACTATCAAAAACATATTTAAACCAAAACAATCAGCAATATAAGACAAAGGTACAGAAAATGTACTGACATGATTTAGGCTAAGCCTACTAGCTTGGTATAGTATAAAAGCCTGCATAACAATAAAAATTCAAAAAAAACCATGCTTGGGTATAGTCAAGGCAGTAGGCAATGTCCAGCAGTACAAAATACTGTGTGAGTCATCATAGTCCAGGATATATAGATTTTGACTAGGGAAAAATTAAAGTCCCGATTTTTTTCATGGGTGGCTTTACTTTAGTCTAATGAACAAAAATGAAGAGTTCCTCAATTATTGTGTGTGCGCGAATTTCACAATCTTCGTAAAATGTTCTAACGGCATAGAGCAAATTTCTCCTACAGGAAATAAGCTATTACTCACTTAAAAATGGTATAATTCTGATGAAATTTAGTACGAACCATTAATGTAGCATGTCAGACTTAAAGTTTGAAAACGAGCCAGATCGCTTAATCCGAAGGGGTGTTTTGGAGGGATTTTGTACCCCAAAAATGGGCGTTTCGAGAAGTTTAACATTAAAGTTTGACATTAATTAACATTTAAAGTTTGAAAGATTCAAATTTTAGTTTTTACTATTGAATACAGCTTTAAAAAACACACAAATTGGTATTTTGATCATTTCTTTACGCAAATTGGTTACCGAGATACGGTATTGTAAGTGCTAAAGACAGTACATTGTCTAATGTTATTCTTATGGTGGAATATAAAAGTTGTACACCTCGCTTATTTGTGAACGTATACTGATGGAACTTGGTATACGGCTTCTTCTCGTTGTGGTCTATTGATATTTTCTCTAACAACATTTTTTCTCCAAACTTGGTCCTGTGGCAGCAAACCTGCGTACTCAGCCCCTATGTTATTCTTATGGAGAATAATTAAAGGCTATGTCTCCCTTTGTGAATATAAATTAATACAACTCTTTATATTGTTTCACCTAGTTGAGTTCTATTAATTTAATATTTGCATAAAAACTCATATTTTGTATTCCTTGTTGCGGCAAACCTTTGTACTCAGTTCCCATGTTTTGTTTATTGAGAATAATTCATATGCTATACAGTACACATTATGTATATTATATGTACATATATTTCTTGTTTATGAATGCGTTTTTAAGAAACTTGATAGGTTGCTTTATGTGCTAATGTCAGGTGTTTCACGGGAACCCTGACAGGAAATGGTTCCTTGGATCAAAACTAGAAAAAAAACTTCCTATATGTCCTTAACTCACTCGTTTACTATTCATACGTAAAAATAGGTTTTTTTAGGTTTTTAGTGTATCTGTTTTATTTTGACCTCTAGGCTATATTGAAAAATTAACAAGATATTTAGATAAAACTTGCATTGATAGAGAGAAAATTAAATTTCAAAGGGATTTCATTACTATTTTGGGCAAACATGTTGGTTGTGACTATTAAGAATAATATATTTTTAAACAAATCTTGATTTAAAACTATTTTTGGTTTTTGACAGCTCTTCATGTAGTAACCATTCAAGCTTTTGGCTTGCAACCTTACCAAAAGTTGTAGAATTTAACAGAGAACAAGGAAATGTGAATTTATCTATTTCAGGTACCTTTTATTGGGATATTTTTTTTCAAAATCTAAAATATTCTAAAATATAAAAAACTAATTTAATAAAGCGAAATAAACGAAATTGCATATTTAGCTTATTTTTTTACACACCTATATAAAGGTTGGTATATGGGTTCTCCTAGTTGAAAAGTATTGCACAATGGCCTAAAACTTTCTTCTTTTTCATTTTATGATTGAAAACAAGCATACCGACTTTCCTATGTTAACCTTAAGGAGAGGATGGGAGTAAGCAGGCTTTTTGCAATAGAAATGTAAAACTAGAGATTTTAGGCCATAATCATGTAGTATTCAACTAAAAGAAGGGATATACTAAGTTTTAATAAGATGTGTTCAGAAATAAATGAGCTATTGTATTTTATTTTTTCTCCATAAGGTTCACATAGGAAAGTGGGTACTGGTATGCCTTTTTTTTTTTAAATTAAAAATGAAAAAGCAGGAAATTTTAGGCCATTATGCAATACTTCTCAACTAGGAGAACCCATATAACAACTTTTATTAGGATGTGTTAAAAAATAAGCCAAATATTCAATTTTTTTTATTTAGTATAATTAAATTAATTTTTGATATTTTAAAATATTTTAGATTTTTACAAAACTATCCCAATAAAAGGTATACTTCAATTCTCCGTTTAACTCTACAGCTTTTGGTAAAGTTGCAATCCAAAAGCTTGAATGGTTACCACATGAAGAGCTGTCAAAAACGAAAAAGAATTTTTAATCAAGATTTTAGTAAAAATATTTTATTTTTAAACTTATTTTTATCAGTCACAACCAACATGATTGCACAAAGTAATGAAATCTCTTTGAAATGTAATATTCTATCTATCAACGCAAGTTTTATCAAAATATCTTGTCAATTTTTTAATCTAGAGGGTAAAATGTTCTACAGATAGACTAAAAACCTAAAAAAACCAATTTTTACGTATACAGTAGACTTCCTCTTATCCGGACTCCTCGGGACCGAGGCCAGTCCGGATAACGGGTTTTCCGGTTAAACCGACGTCCCCAAAAACTCATTAAAACGGACTGTTTACTGTGATATTCGACTTAAATTTAGGAGAGCATTGTATTTAGACACGTGATCACTGGTCTCAAATCTTTCCCACGAGAACAGTCGTTTCAGTACTGCCTACTTCCTGCCGATCTAGTCTGGTTAAACCAATGTGCTGATAAAAATTGACCGGTTAAACAGATGTCATTTCCGCCGAGTGTAGTCCGGTTAATCCGATGTCCGGTTAAAAGGTATCCGGATAAGAGAGAGTCTACTGTAACTAGAAAACTAGTGAGCTTAGGACAAATGCTTATAGGACATATTTTTCAGTTTTGACCCCAGGAACCATTTCCTGAAGTTTGTCAGGGTTCTGGTGAAACAATCTGTATAATGAAATGAACTATGAGGCCTCCTGCAAAAAAAACCTAAAATTAGGAATTAAGTAAAAAACTAGCCTACATTGTGAACTATGCACATTCTGTGTGTGCTATGTTAGGTTTACATACTGTATTACATGTATTCATGCAATAATTTATGATTAACTATTTTATAGGGGTGGGCGAGTAGTGATTTTTCAATTCGAGTCGAGTCGAGTCGAGTATTTGAGTAAAAACTCGAGTATCGAGTCGAGTCGAGTAGTTGCGCGTTAAGTAGGCCTAGGCCCAGGGTTTAAGCTGCGGTAGTATTTTTAGCATCTTGCTTTTCACAACTTAAAAATGCTAAGTTTAACTTACATTGTTTTGCAGGCTAGGTCTATGGCAAATTTTCTACAAATAAAATTTAAATATGTAACGTTCAAACAAATGTAATATTAGCCTACTGGAATTTTTTGTTTTAAATGCCTAAGTTATTGAATAATATTTTTTCTACAGTTAAGTTAGCCTAACTTAGTTTTTGTCTTTGCAGAGAGTTTGCAGCATTTTGCTGAAACAAATTTCATCCTAGCCTAAACCCTGCCTAGGCCTAAATAGGTAGTTTAAGTACTTAAACCAAATTTTCTAAGTTATATGGTTACTAATTATTAGCACCTCCTACCTTAGGCCTAATACAAAATTTGGCCTAGACTACTTGTTGGTTGCAGCATTAAATTATTTAAGCCTACACATCACTTGTTCTTGTGTGTTTTATTTTTCCTTGCCTTTAATTCCTCCTCACTAACATGATAATCAACCTAAATAACTAACTTAATAAGGTAACTTTAAGAATTAATTTCTATTCAAATAAGAAACAGAATTTATAAAAATGAATTTATTTATAAAACAGAAAACTAATATCAAACTACATATTGTATCACAAGTTAAAAACATCAATATGCAATTAGGTATTTAAAAATAATCACTATTGGATAAGCACTTCATCTCTCTTAAGTTTGAAGGTTATGGGTACTAGGGCTATCCTCTTCACTCAGTATACATTTATAAAAATGATCAAGTCACTGTCTCTGACAGACTGAAAATATCAAACAAAAACATAGTAGGCCTATTATCTCGAAATAAAATCCCACATTAAACACTTAATTTAAAATAAAACACATTTCACTGTAGCCCGGTATAGCCTATTTGGCCTTTCTTTATAATATAAACTCACATTTTCTAGGTTAAGTTACAATTCAAACTGTCGTTGTCATGTTTCTGCCACCAGATTGAAAATTGCACAATCAAAATCACAAACAGAATATGTTTATTTTACTTTCTATTAAACTTGCACTAACAAAATCCATTTTATTTTAAGTTACAAATTCACTTGAAAGTAAAAACATTCAAAACTGACAATTGACATAACTTCAATCACTCCAATCCATTGTTTTGTTGTTACGCCAGCCCAGCTGTCACCATATCTGCTCTCTCTCTCTCTGCTCTCTCTCCTCTCTAGTCAGTCTGCTCATTCTGCTTCTGCTTTGTTTTCCCATCAAACAGCTGTTTTGCAGGGCTGACGTTGCCATATTTATCATTACACCATTATGGTGAATGTCGGTAAAATTATCACAAAATTGCTAGCTATAGCTTTTATTTCGTAAAAAAATTTATAGTTTGACTAATTTTAATCATGTTTATGTAAACTGATTAGAAAATAAATTATACTTATAGTTTGTTTACGCCAATACCACAGTTGTAAAAGTACAACAATTATCGTCCATCTGGCAACACTGAGTTTAAAGTGGAACTGATCTTTTCTTTCTTTCTGCCAAGACCCAATGAGATTGCGTCATTCAGATGCATCGATGTTCCTTGTAGTAACTTATCGGTTTGTAAAACTAAACACCAATACCGATTAATGTGAAAAAATATTATGCTACAACAGGTTATTTTTATTTGTTGTATTTCTATATTTTGGTATAAAATATTTTGTTATTTCTATATTTTGGTTTAAAATATTTTTATGGCAGTTCAAACTAAATCTGATACTGTACTTTATAATATCTTCAAGAATCGTCTGCCATTGTTATACTAGTCTCGAGAATCCCTTGTTGACTATCGACTATTGCAATTCGATAGATTCATTCAATGCTTTATTTCAACTTACTGTATCGTTATCGAGACGTATTGTTGACTGTTGTAGGATAGTGAAAGTCTGTTTCTGTTAGTAGTCCTCTTGCTAGCTCTGCTGAATGACGATGGGTGTTTGTTGAACATTTGGTTTACGCTGGTCTAACCTATATGAGGTTAGATAGTTGTTTTTGTAGGAATGGGGATTAAATAAAGCATCAACACAAAACAAAATATAATTTATTAAATATGGGTGTAGAAAATCGTGAAGTGGCAATATTTATAACTACTCGACTCGACTTTTCGAGTAGTAATTACTACTCGACTCGATGTCGAGTATTTGAAAAAACTCGAGTAATTACTCGAAGGTCGAGTACTCGCCCACCCCTACTATTTTATGACTTTTCTATTGAATTAGTCTACTAGTAAGAAAGAATAAAAATTTCTTATCCAGATTTTTGAAATCATTTTATAATTATTTTAATTTAACCAGCAGATTGGCAAATCCGCACACACCATCAATGGGGAACTTTCTGTACTTGCTTTTATACCTAATAAAATGTAGTAATGGAATAAAAAATCTGGCTTTAATTATTTCCTAATTTGATGATATTTTTAGCTTTATTTCCTGGACTATCAGAAGATATTTAATAACCATCATAAAACTATTATTTATATTATAAAACCAGTTTGGAATTCATAATTACACTAGTAATAAATAATGGAAGTCGTAAAGGAATAGAAGAATGAGTAACAATTCAAGGGATAAAAACTTGTATTGAGCTTAACTATTGACTATGGATTCTTGGAAGTACTTGACTTGATAAAATTATTATTGTTGTGATATGTAGGTTTGGGACTGCTAATGAGGTTTTTATTGCACCATTAGCCGTAAACAAACATTAGATAAACCTTTTATGCCCACCTAAACCCTTTTTATGTAAAATCTGTTTTTTTTCTAAAACCAGTAAAACTGACAAACGACCCAACCCTAATAATAAATAATTTATTTTATAACTCACCGTTTCATTAGTTTTGATGGTTTCTTCGTTGGTTTTGGTCGTTGGTGCTGGTGGGTACTCCTCCAGAGCATTGTGGTTGCCAGCTAAGAAGTTGACGTAGTCCATTACCTCTACAAATATGATGCTAGGTGTGGCCCCATATTTTTCCGTTGTCCTATCATCTTCCAGTATGACCTTCTTCCAAGATGACCAGGAGGTGAGAATTTTTTGACTGGGGTTATACATACGTCTGACTATAACTTGTATGGTCTTCAATTTATTGACATCGGCCATATTACTCCTCTCCATCTGCCTCTGATATAATTGGGAAAAAAAAATTAATAGGGGTCAGCATAATAAAGAGATGAGGTAAACTAACGAGCACAAGTAGTCCTCACTACACGGATATACTCAAATTCAATTCATGGTAACTGCAAAACTTAGCAGGTCATATTATCTAAATAACATGAATAAAAAGCTAAAATTCTGTCACCAGCGGGATTAGTTTGTAAATAGTCCTTCCCAGTTTCAATGCAACTATCCCAGTTGAATTGATCATACAAGGTGGAAAAAAAGACCCGGGACGGTTGAATATTTCAAAAAGTAATAAAGATAGAGCTCCAAAACTTGGTACACAGTTACTGGGCATTAACAGAATTTTAACACATTATTTAGTTATGCGCTACCTCCTCAGGGGAGCGGCCCGCTAAGAGTCAGAAGAAAATCTTAAATGTAAGCACAGGTTGATATGCACATCAAATTAAAGGTCTTTATTATTATAATACAATGCTGCAAACCAGAACTCAAACGAACAACCAAGTCTAAAATGACAACTATTTAAAGATTCATTAAATTTGCATTGCTATTATACGCTACCTCCTCAGGGGGGCTAGGAGTCTGAAGAAAATCATAAATGTATGCATAGGTCGATATGCACATCAAATTAAAGATCTTAATTATTACAATACAATGCCAAAAATTTAAGCTGAAAAGAACAACTAAGAAAAAATGGCAGCCGTTAAAATATTCAAAATTGCAGATTCAAGATACAGTACTCTCGCTCATCCAGATCAGCCTTGTCCGGACTCCCCCACTAGTCCGGATCGGCAATCGTGATTTTTTTTTAGCGGCACAGTACAGTATAAGTCCGATTATCCGAGCTAAACAGGACCGAGACTACATCGGATGATGACAAACTCGGATAACACAGCGGTAAAAATTATCACCCGTGGAACTGCATTTGCACGGCTATCAATATTGTGGACCTCAATATTCTTATCAGATAGAATAATATCGTTGCCAATGTTTCCAGCACCCACTTTAGTACCTCCTTTGCGTTACACAATAACTTGAGATGAATAAAATTAAGAGATTAGGTACTTGAGATTATTACCCTTGATCATGACAAAAAAAAAATCCATAGTAAAAACTTGTAGAAATCTTGGCCAAGAAAACATCAATTTGTTTAGATTAAAACTGAAAGATGAGAATTGTATGGAAATTTACATGTCTCCTATTGTATATAAGTACTCTAAGTCCCATCAGAATTTTTTTTATTATTTTAATGAGTAAAACACTTAATGGGACTTATTTTAATGGGTAACACTTATTACTGTTAGAACAGGATCCAAAAAGAATTGCTGGATGAATACTAGGTTAAGAGAAGAGAAAGAAACTATTGTTAGGCTAAGTAAGTGTGCAAGAAATCAAGATAAAGAGTGCAAAGAGCTTAAAATCCGCCAAAGAAAATTTAAATTTGATCTTTTCAAAACAAAAAAAGAATATTATAACAAAATTAAACGTTCATCAAACATTTCAAAAACAACATTGTAAATTATTAACAAGGAAGTCTTTAACGGCAAAAAACAAAAAGAACAGGAAAATATGTCATTAAAAGTTAACAATAAGATAGTTAACAATCCAAAAGAAATAACAAATCATTTAAACTTATTTTTTACAAAATTCTCAACGTTACATACAAAGTTTTGTAATACTACATCAGACACCTCTTCAAAAAATATATGGCATACAAAATTGTATTTCAAACCAGTAACTGATACCGAAATAATAACTATTATACAATCTTTAAAAAATAAAACAACATCTGGCTATGACGATTTATCAGTAAAAATGTTAAAAGAGGTGAAAGAGGGGAAGATTAAATTCATTTTAATGCACCTAATTAACTCATCATTTTGTAACAGGAATTTTTCCAAATGAGCTTAAAATTGCTAGAGTGGTACCCGTTTATAAGAAAAACTCTAAGAAAGATATTTCAAACTACAGGCCAGTGTCAATTCTCCCGGCAATATCAAAGGTATATGAGAAGGCAGTGTACAACAGGTTGAACAGTTTCTTGAACCAGTATGATCTAATTGATAATGAACAACATGGTTTCCGTGCTGGTAGATCGACAGTTACATCAGCGGTTAGTTTCATTGAAGCCGTGATAAATTCACTAGATAAGGGTTTAAATTCAGCTGGCATCTTCATGGACATGTCCCAGGCATTTGATAATGTAGACCACCATCAATTAATAGCTAAACCTCTTTTATCAAAAAAGCTAAACCTCTTTTAGCTAGTCCTCTTTTATTAATATTTACCTTAAAAATCTTCCAAATTCTCTAAAAGACCCAGGTAGTAAGATAAGTATATATGCAGATGATATTAATCTTAACACAACTGGGAAATCCCGAACTGATTTAGAAATGTCTGCTAAATCAGAATTAAAAAGTCTGAATTAGTTTTTAAAAGACCATAATTTAGTACTTAGTCATAGTCAAGAATCTTTATTCATAGTACAGTCTAACCTTGATATAACGAACCTCGATATAACGAATTCCTTGATATAACGAATTTCTTTTAATCCCCTAGAACTCTCCATAAGACACAATGTATATTTTACCTCTATATAACGAACAAACCATAACAACGACCTTGATTTAACAAATTTTTCGTGTTTTCGGCTAAAATAAGACACCTCAATACAACGAATTTATCGTTGTCAGAACCTCTACATTGCTAATTTAACCTCTGCATAACGAATTGTCTACGTCTTTCCCTCGATATAACAAATCCCCCACCCAATTATTGTTTTGGGAAAATCTGTTTCTTTATCAAATGAAATGGAAAGGTCACGTCATCGCTTGCGCTAACATTCGTCTGCTCCGTTTTACATCTTTGTCTGATGTCGCTGCGCGCGCTATGTTGCAACTGAGAACTGATTTCATTCACTGAGGACTGATGACGACGTAATGTGTAGTAAGCTGTGATTGGGCGATATGGGAAAACGATGGTGAATTGTACAATTTTTGGATAAAGAAAAAACCTAAGAAAGAATATAAAAACTGAAACCAAAGAGAAAGAATATTTATTTTAACATTAATATTTATTTTTAACAGTTATTTTAACATTCCTTTTACAGGTGTTTTTATTATCCTTAAGTTGGCTATGATTATACACTTTTATAATGACTTATCTAATAATTTATTGTTTTCAATACGATTTGTTTTGTTTCAACTAGCAACACCAATGCTATAGTTAATGATTACTGTATTATTGAATTTCCTCTGTTGTGATAAATCAGTACTGTACTGTAAGTAGCCTACCGGCCATCGCGAGCAGTAGCTTACAAAACTTTTTACTGTTTTGTTTTGTTCTTTACATGGTTTATGACTACACAATACAGTGTTTGGCTAGGTTTTAGGAGGGTTAGAACAAGCTGTGATTTTAAACTTATAAGTTTTTAACCTGTACCAAGGTCAATGCCATTGTCATGATTGCGCAATATTCAAGATCCCTCCCCTTTATTATGCCGGACAATTTAGGTTCTACTGTACAATGTAAACACTGTACTGTAAAGTATTGTAGCCTATGCTACCTTAATTGTATTTTAATGAGGTCAAATCCCGACCTATATTGACCGACGCTGGTCCTGAACCTCGACTTAGCGAAATTCCTGCAAACCTAACCTCTATATAACGAACCTCGTTTTAACGAAATCCTTGATATAACGAATATTCAATTCGGTCCCTTCAGATTCGTTATACTGAGGTTGGACTGTATACATAGTTATACATGAATAGTGTCAAATAAGTTCAAACAAATGCTTAAAACTATGATAACGCCATTTTCAATTCGTCTAAAGAGTACAAGGACAGGTCCATTAAATATTCCTTGAGACGTTTTTTAGAAATGTTGGGTTTTTGTTCTGTTTTAATTTTCAAAGGAATAAATTTTAAAAATTCATGTCCTGCATTGACAGTCTTTTTTTTAAGAGCTCTAATTTGCGTTTTCCAATTACAAAATTATTTTTGTTACGTGTAATGTAGTTATGATTATTTTCTTTAATTGGTGGATTAAAATTTTTGTTTTGACAAACATAATACATTCAAGAACATACAAACCATAAACAGTGAGGATCCTTAAACGTTTAAAGTGTTCTTTTGCAGAATCATCTTTGTTCATTTTTAACATAGCTCTGATTGATTGCTTCTGTATTGTCAAAATTTTGTCTAGATTCGAATTTGAGGTGGCTCCATATACACATATGCCATAAGATTTATTGGATTGAATATGGGAAAAATAAATCATTTTTAAAACTTCAATACTGCATAGTTTTGACATTTTTCTAATCGCACAAAGACCAGAATTTATTTTATTGATAACAAGTTTACAATGTTTGTCCCAAGACAAGTTGCTGTCCAATGTCAGGCTAAGGAACCTTATGGCTTCTGTTATTTCAATTGGTTGGTTATTTACTTCAATATTAGGATTGGAATTGTTTTTGTTTTGTTTTGTTTTGAATGTGACACATTTGGTTTTACTTTCATTTAATTTTAAATTGTGATTATTCAAAAAATCCTCAATACAAGCTATTTCTATTGTGGATAGCAACTCTTATAACACTTAAAACATATATTTACGCTTATACTGTTACTCACAAGACGGTTTTGAAGCGGTTAACGAAGTTAACTTCGTTAACCGCTTCAAAAACCACATATCTGCATGGAGGAACAACAAACCGGAAAGATCAAATGTCGCACAACACCTGTTACAAAATGGGCACTCACTAGGAAAAATGGAGGATAGTCTAGATATTTTAAAGAATTGTAAGAAAGGATATGTAATGAATGCTTGGGAAGAATTGTATACTTATAAGGAAAAATGTAAAGATAGAAATAAGTTGATTAATGAACAAATACATTTTGATTCCAGTTGTACTTATAAAAATGTATTGGCCGGTGCTTCCGGTAGCCAATAGGGTATAAGTAGGGACGCCATTCAAGATTCTTGTCATTCGCCTATTGGGTCTG